AAACCGAAAGTCACAGGGTACATAATCTTGACCAGGGTCTTTTTTCCATTGAATATTTTATCTTATAATATTAATCATAGTGGCACCATATGCATCTATTAAGGTATGAAATGGGCCAGGCAGTGATTTAACCTGCATTAACCAATTTCCCTCCAAAGTGTTCTCAGAATCAAATAACATCTATTTCTCACTTTTCTGTGGCACAAATAGTTTAAATGGTTTGCTGAAGGTCATTTTGAAAGTAAAGAATGAAACGAAGCTACAGAACAGTCACCAGGAGGGAAGACAGGCATGCGTGTGCATAAAGCTTTTGTATCCACTCCACAAGAATGTGCAGAAGGCTATGGAAGAGCATATCAGGGAGGAATCATCCTGTAGTCAGTGAGGGTTTGCACACAGGGGACACTGGTCTGAAACCTGATGTATAAGAAGCCTTGCCTACCACCAGCGAGGTGGCAGGGACATGAGAAGACCCTGGGAGAGGCCTTGAGGATAAAACAGAAAGCTTGGCATGGTTTGCTCCTGTGTGACCTTTTCAAGCAGTTTGCCCAAGTGCCATATACTTTTAAAATATCTCCCTTTTTAGGCCTACCCCCACAAAGCATTTTAGAGATGCACAATACTAAATCAGAGGGGGGAGAGAGGGGAAGTGCTTGTCAGAACGAATCAGCCAAGGACTATTAACTGGTTTATTTTTCACCACTTTGGTATTCTTTTTCAGTAAATGTGAATTATTTTTAATAATTTCCTGTAAGCTTTTTTTAATTCAAAACCTCACAATTCTTGAGTTTTCTGTATTGCATAACCAAATCTTCTTAACTTTTGGATATTTCCCTCTCTAAAAAAATTGGAAAAAAAATAAAGCTTCAGAGCAAAGTACATCTTCACAATTTTTATTTGAAAGTCTCTAGAGAACAGAGTGAAGATAATTACTTAAAACTTTGTATCTGTACATATTAGCTATGCAAAAAGATGGGTTTTTATTGTGGCATAGGCATATTGGTGCATGTGTATAACATAATCTTATCGATTTCACTCCCCAGTGCTTCCCCATGCATTACATGCCTCCTTTGCCTGTTTTTCTTCTCTATCCTGTTGGTCCCCTGTCTACCTTTGTGGTGCCTTCCTTTCTTTGTTTGCCTCACTAGCTTCCACATGAGAGAAAACATGTGATACTTCTCTTCCTGAGTCTGCTGCACTTTGCTTACTATGATATTCTCCAGTTCCATTCATTTTCTGAAAATGAGATAATCTATTTTATATATGTATAATATTCCATTGTGTGTGTAAATGTGTGTGTGTGTTTCACATTTTCTTTATCAATATGTCTCTTGAGTTATACCTAGGATAGTTCTATAACCTGGCTTTTGTGAATTGTGCTTTTATAAACATGGGCATGCATGCATTTCTAAAGTATGCTGATTTCAGTTCTTTTGGATAAAGACCAAAGAGTGGTAGAGTTGGATCATATTTTAATCCTATTTTTATTCTTTTTAGGAACCTCCACACTGATTTGCATAGTGGCTGTACTAACTGCATGTCCACCAAGTATATGGAAGTTCCCCATTTCCCACATCCTTGTCACCATTTATTGCTATTTGTATTCATGATGACTGATATCCTGACTGGCATGAGAGGGAATCTCAATGTAGTTTTAGTTTTCATTTCCTTCATAGTTAAATATGTTCAACTTTTATTCTTCATATGATTGTTGGCCATTGTACTTTGAGAAGTATGTGTTCATTTCATGTAATTTTTGGTGCATGGACTGTGTGGGAGCTTTGTGGCATGTGGTAGAAATGCTCCTCCCTTGGGTCTACTCTCCCAGGAGTGTCCTGTGCACCATGCCTGCTCTGCTGTGCTTCACCCCTGTGGCCAATAGTGTAGGTGGGGGTGGGGAGTTTACAGCAACTGAGCTACATGAGCTACTCAGGTGGGCTGTTCAAAGGTGTTCCCTAGGGTAATATTTTCTGATGTCTCTCAGTGGGATGGAGATCCACAGATCTAATCCTTTCCAGAGCTACAGTCTTAGGTGTAGTTATTCCACCAATGCATGGCGAAAAGGTGAATTACTTCTCACACAGCAGGTCACTTTTCAGATTCTGCTTCAGCTTAATTCATTCTGACTTTCTATTACACCACTGGTTCTGAAGAAAGTTGATCAGCTTTGCTTCTCTTTCTCCCATTGTGACTCCTCTGACCTGAGACTAGTCCTGTTGTCATGGGTGCAGACTTCAGGCTAATGAATTCCTCTGTGCTTTCCATTCTGGAAACCAGAATTTATGAGACTCTCAAAGTATCTAGGAGCCTAAAACTGCACCTCAGTGCACTCCCTCTGTCCCTGCCTTGTCAGTCAGCTCTGGACTCCCTGCCTTGGTTTCTACCTGCCGAGGAGCCAAGGTATGCAGCCCACCTCTACACCATCTTGATGCTTAAAACTTTTCAACTCATTTCTTTATTTTTTTTACTGTTTTAATAAATAAATAGATAGATAAATAAATAAATAAATGACAGTGGAATGCATTACAATTCTTATTTTATATATATATTTTTAATTTGTTTTAATTAGTTACAGTACAATGACCTTGACATATCATACATTTGAATCAGATGGGATATAATTTCTCATTTTTATGAGTGTACAGTTTGCAGAATCATATTGGTCTTGCAGTCACATATACACACACTAATAATAATGTCTGTTTCATTCTACTATCCTTCCTATCCCCCCATCCCCTCCCCTCCTCTCCCATCACTTCTCTCTACCACAATTTTTCATATCTCTGTATATAAAATATTTTGATACCCAATTAGAGTCTTCATACATGTACTTTGGATAATGATGTCTATCACATTCCACAGTTCTTGCTAATCCCCTGCCCCCTCCCTCATCCTCCCACCCCTTTTCCCTATCTAGAATTCATCTATTCCTCCCATACTCCCCCTCCCTACCCCATTATGAGTCAGCCTCCTTATATCAGAGAAAACATTCAGCATTTTTTTTTTAGATTGGCCAACTTCACTTAGCATTATCTTCTCCAACGCCATCCATTTACCTGCAAATGCCATGATTTTATTCTCTTTTATTGCTGAGCAAAATTCCATTGTGTATATATGCCACTTTTTTTTATCCATTCATCCACTGAAGGGCATCTAGGTTGGCTCCACAGTTTAGCTATTGTGAATTGTTAATATTTCATACCTATGAAATATGCAATCAATATCAATTTCTTACCTATTTATTTTAAGTTTATTAAGACACAATTCATATACCTTATAAGTAATCCATTTAAACTGTACAATTCAGTGGTTCATAAAACACAGATACAAAAAAAAATGTAACTATCACCACAGTCAATTTAGAACTTTTCATAATCTCAATCTTACATGATATGTCCTTAGTCATCATGTGCTATCTTCTACCCTACCAGACAACCACCAATAGATTGTCTGAGTCTGGACTCTCTACCTACATAGACATCACTATTCTGCATTTTCATTTGCACGGAATCATGTTGTAACTTGGTAGAAGTGGCTTATTTCTCTTGGCAGCATGTTTTCAATGGTTGAGAATATTGTAGCATGGATCAGCTCTTCATCTCTATTTTATAGTCAGTAATCAGGAACCTTCCAAATTAAATTTGTTTATCCATTTGTCTGCCAATAGTGATTTGTCTTTCATCCATCTTTTTGTCTATTATGAATAATGCTATTTTAGTCATTATGAAGAAATTTTCTCATGCAAATTTTTGCATAGGTGTGCTTTAGTTAGTTTGGTTATTCCTGTGATGAAAACACTCAACAAGAACAACTTAGAGGAGGAAAATTTATGGGATTCAAGGTTTCAGAGGTCTCTGTCCACGGATAGCCAACTCCATTGCTCTGTGCCCAAGGTAAAGGAGAGAGAGAGAAAGAGAGAGAGAGAGAGAGAGAGAGAGAGAGAGAGAGAGAGAGAGAAGGA